GATCTCCGCTTTATATTGGCAATATGACATAATGACTATAGACCCACCTTTGTCCGCAGGTAGGATAATGATTTCATTATCCTGTTTCAAATCTTTCAGTGCTTCTGTTTCAGCTTTCATAAGGTTCTGTCTGTGATCCAATGGATTTTTTATGATCTGCTCCGTATCCTTTCTTACAGTTTGCTTGAATGTTCTAATAGAGTTATTCATCATTTTATGTTCAGTAGTGTATTTCACTTTAAATGGATTTTTTTGTCCTCCAAAAGTGTTATCTTTACGATGTTCGTTGTTGATCAAAATATGTTGTAATTTGTACAACTCAATCTCAGTTTTAAAAGGGTCAGGTTTGGTTACCGGTACAAAGGATAACCCTTTGGATAACACTGAAAGATGGTCTTTGGTTAATATTTTTTTGGACAAATTAAAAACGTTGATCATCTCTTGCGGATTGGTGGTTTGCCTTTGAAGCTTACGTTCCTTTCTTCCCTTTTGTCCTCTACGTGGGATTGCATTCTTCTTCTGCCTCTGGTGTCGATTCTGGAAATCCCAGGTGATTCTTGTGGGGATGTGCCTTCTTCTAAAAAAGGATCTATTTCACCCCTTGACTTATCTTCTCTCATTTCAACATCTGAGGCAGATTCCCAGAACTAATATCCACTGTTTGAAAGGCAGGTTTTTTGATTCGGTGTCTAAATCGAGGTATTGAATCTTTATATGGCGTTTGAGTACCGCTGAGCCATCTATACACTTGATGGTACTGATAATCATGATTCACTTTGGCTAGTTTTTGCTTCTTAAATCTTATCAATTCATTTTTATATTTATTAATATCGTCCTGTAATTTCAGCATTTGTGTGGTTGCTGCTGCGGATTGTAAAGCCAGAGTGTTAGTAGTCTCAAAATCCTGAATGGACTGTCTTACCATAATTAACTCCTTACCAACCTCTTCTACTACGATTACCATCCAATCCAGCGAACATTTATTGGCAATATTCATCCATTTCCTACAGAAATCTGGATTTTGCCGTCCAATGGTTGGTGCATTTCTAACCCTGAATCCTCTGGGTATTCTTTTGGCACGATAATAGTCTGAGATGAAAATGCCGTGTACGTCCAGATCAACTTCCCGTCTCCTTAATTTCATGAGGACATTGTATAAATCCTTGGCTGTGTTTGTATGACTATATATATATATATATATATATATATACACACACACACACACACACACACACACACACATATATATATATATATATATATATATATATATATATACACACACACATATACACACATATATATATGCACACAAAATGTATATATATACACACACATATATATATATATATATATATACACACACACTCACATATATATATATACACACACACACACCCATATATATATATATACACACACACACTCACATATATATATATATATATATATATATACACACACACACACACACACACACACACACACACACACATATATATATATATATATATATATATATATATATACACACATATATATATATACATATATATATGCACACACATATATATATATATACATACATACACACACACACACACACACACACATATATACATATATACACACACACTCACATATATATACACACACACACCCACATATATATACACAAACACTCACATATATATATACACACACACACACACACACACACACACACACACATATATATATATATATATATATATATATATATATATATATATATATATATAGCATCCAAGTAGAGAGCACTCTGGAGTCTTCGTTTTATATCAAAATAAATACTGCTTTATTGTGCAGAATACAAAAAATGTCGACGTTTCAGTCACAATAGACTTTTCTCAAGACAATTCATGCAATGAATAAACTGTGATTATATATGTTACAACAAAATTCCTATTGGAGGGTGAAAGATTGAAAGCAAGAACAGGTGACATCATAATTGACGTATTTAAACAGAATATAAACCAAGTGATTCTTGGCTCAATTAAGGTTTGAAAAAGTGAGCCAGTGCTAATTAAATACACAGAAGGCTATTTACAAAATAAAAACTAATAATATTAATAATAATAAGTAAACCTAAAAAATATTCACTATATCCAATAGTCCTGTTAACTAGCAACAAGTCCTGATTTTTCTGTCTTGCAATGTTCAAATGTCTATTAGCAAAATATGTATATAGAAACAAAATCAATATTATTATCCTATAATCCTATTAACAAACAACAAATCTTGATTACTGAGTCTTACACTTTCCTAATGTCTACTGGCAGAATATGTATTTAAAGACAGTCAGTGTGTCCCATTTATACCACAAAATCTCTTAACAATGTATATTTAAGTAATGCAACATTAGTTACAAAAATTCTCATAATAAGAGCACAATATCATAATATCCCACAAATACTTCATATGTTATTTAATTATCTTCTATTCAAAAAACAATATAGAGCATTTTTCTCATTTAACCCATTAGGTGATAATGCTCCTAAAGTATGGATCCAATATGCTTCACGTTTAAGTAAAGCCAAATCTCTATCCCCTCCTCTTGGGGAGATGGGTACATGGTCTATACCAATAAAGCGTAGAACTGCCAAATTGTGACTTTCCTCAAGGAAATGTCGTGACACAGGAGTCATCGCTATTCCACTGCTGAGTGCTGTGCGGATAGTCGAACGATGTCCACGCATTCTCTCCCTCAGATCATTAGACGTTTTACCCACGTATATTAGCCCACATGGGCATATTATTCTGTATATTACGTGGGTAGTTTGACATGTAATATGGTATTTAATTTTATACACTTTTCCAGATCTCGGATGATTAAAGGTCTTCCCTGGTGTCATGAAGTTACATGCTAGGCAGTTTAAGCAACGGAAACATCCAGCATTGGAGGCTATCTTAGAAGATTGTGCAAAAGTCCACTTATCAGTGTGTACCAATAAGACCTTCAGGCTTTTCCCTTTCCTGTAGCTTATAATAGGTGGCTTCTGGAACACTGTAGGTAAAGATGAATCTTTGTTGATAGTTCTCCAATTGTCCAAAATATTTAGACGTAATTTATCAGAATTAGGATGAAAGGATTGAGGGAAAACAAGTCGATCCCCCATGTTGAGATGAATCCTTTGCTCTGAAATTGATTGCAAAACCTTAACATATGCTGTATCCAAAGTCTGTTCTGAGTAACCCCGAGCTTTAAACTTCTGGTGCATCTCCTGAAGTTGATTTTCTACAACATCTGGGTTAGAGTTATTGCGTAACACTCTGATGAACTGTGAAATCGGAAGAGATTTTTTCAATCTATCCGGATGAAAACTTGAAGCATGAAGTAATGTGTTGCGGTCTGTTTCCTTAGAATATAATGTGTATCCAAATTCATTATTATGTATTGAAATCTGGAGATCAAGAAAATTGATCTTTGAGACACTGGTCTGCCAAGTGAAACGGATCGAAGATGGTAAGTGGTTTAATTCTTGCATCATTAATTCAAACTCATCTATAGTGCCAGTCCATAGCAATAAAATATTGTCAATAAATCTCATGAACTGTAAAATTTTTGTTGCATATTTCTCAAGAATGTGACGCTTCTCATAAATGTACATGAAGGAATTGGCATACATAGGAGCCATCGGCGCTCCCATAGAAGTTCCAGTTAGTTGTGTATAATATGTAGATTCAAATCTGAAGTAATTTAAAGTCAGGCATGCTTGTAGCAAATCCAAAATATAACCAATTGGAGGTCTTTCAATAGAAGCCGCTTCCCTTAATACCTCTCCCATTGCTTCCAAGCCTTCCTGATGGGGGATTGAGGTATATAAACTGCAAACATCAATGGTTGCCAGAAGTACTCCATTTGATGGAATAGCTAATCCCTTCAAAATTTCAATCACTTCGTTACTATCTTTGATGCATGTATCCAATGACATTACAGGTCCTTTGAACAATTTGTCCAACCATCTCCCTATTGGTTCCAATAGACCGCCGATCGCCGATACTATCGGACGGCCTGGTGGATGGACAGAGTCTTTGTGCACTTTAGGGAGGGTGTATAATATAGGGCATCGAGGATGTAATTCATATAGATAATCAAATTCATTCTGAGGAATGTATTCATGTTCAACTCCATGTTTCAATAATTTAAAAATTCTTTTACTATATTCCTTGCCCGGATCAGTGTTAGACGCTCGGTAGACACTAGTCTCTCCTAATTGTCTTAAAATTTCACTTCTGTATTCTGAATAGTCCATCAAAGCTATAGAGCCACCCTTGTCCGCTTGTCGAATGACTAAAGACGTATCTTGAGACAATTTCTGAATAGACTCTCGTTCTTGTTTAGAAATATTTGCTGCTCTCTTTTTCTCCTTAATTGTTTTAATAGAATCTATTCGAAGATTTTGAGCAAATACCTTCAAGGAAGCATTAACATTGGGTGGGTCATATACACTGTTCAATTTAACCAGATCCTCACTGCTTTTCAGGTTGCTTGCAGATTTAAAGTGATCAGCAAGGCGTAATTTCCTATTAAACTTAAATTGATCTATTTCCCAGTCAAACTGATCAATGTTAGATGTAGGGATAAATGACAAACCCTTGGAGAGTATAGATTTTTCAGAAGTGTTCAATATCCTTTTAGATAAATTAATAATAGGACAAATATTCATCAGCGAGGTGGTCTCCCTCTTACTCCGGTGCGTCTTCCCCTTCTGGCCTCTCCTTGTATATCTACTCCGGGTGAAATAGGACCTGTTGTTCCTATATCTTTGTAACAAATATTTGTTTGAACTGGTTCTCTCATGAGTCCCAAACCTGGGTCTAAAAAAGATACATTGTCATTGCTAGTCATTCTGCTCCTTGAAGTGACTACATCCTGGGATTGACTGCTTACTTCTGCATCCAACATTGATGTTTGCAGTTTATATACCTCAATTCCCCATCAGGAAGGCTTGGAAGCA